ATGAGACTGATAATCTGCTGACCCCTAGGTCTGTGGAGTGAGCCTATGTGCTGTGTTTTGAAGTCAGTTAGTGTATTGCGTTCTGCCTTTTTGTTGTTGTTGTCGTTGTTGTTGTTCTGGGTATCTGTAACTGTTTAGAGTTCTTTGTTATTCAGTATAGTTTTAGAATATTTTCTAGTTATATAAAAATATAATTCACAGAGCTTGTATTGGGTGCATAATTTGTTCTTGGTAGTTGGATATTTTAACAATATTATTTCTTCCAGTTTAAGGATATGGGCTATCTTTGTCCTTTATGTGTATGTCTTCTTTACTTTCTTTCACCAATGATTTTTCGTTTTCATTGTAGAGCTCTTTTACTTTTTTAAATTTTTATTTATTCACTCATGTAATACATATGTGTGTGTAACACTTAATGTTTGAATTCCTTGTGGAGATCCTTAACTTCTTTGATTTAATTCATTTCTAGTTTTTTGGAAGCTATTGTAACTTGGGTTGTTTTCGTGATTTCTATTCTAGATAATTTCATTTTAACATATAGCAATGTGATTTATATTTGTATGTTTTTGTGGTCCACAATTTTGTTGACTTAACCTCTTAGTTCTAATAGTTTTTTTTTTTTTAATGTAGTTTTAAAGGTTTTCTCTTCTTAAGATCACATCATTGGCAAACAGAGACAGTCTGATTTCTAATTTCTAATTTGGTCCTCATTTATTTTTTTTCTGTTCTCTGATTTCTCTGGATCACAAGTAGAGGCCATTATTGAATAAAAACAGTGAGTTTGAATCCTTGTTTTGTTCCAGATTTAGAAATAAAGTTTTCAGCTTTTCTCTTTTCAGTATAATTTTAGCTATTGGCTTATTAAAATGATCATTGTTATGTTCAGGTAGATTCCTTTTGTATTTAGATTTATTAAATATTTTTACTCGGAAGGAATGTTGCTGTAGTTGAGTTTGTTGTGGTTTTTTCCCAGTCCTGAGGATGAAATTCAGGGCAATGCAATTCAGGGCCTCATATATGTTAGGAAAATGTACACTAGTAAGCTACACTCTGAACTCTTGGAGGTTGAATTTTCACAAATATCTTTTCTGCATCTACTGAAATGATCTGTTGTTTTTGTGCTTCATTTTCTTTATACACAGTACCATGTATAATGACTTGGGTTTCATGAACCGTATTTTCTTTCCTGGATGAATCTTGCTTTATCATGGTACATAATGTTTTTAATATGCTATTTGTTCTTGATAGTATTTTCTGAAGCATCATATGTGTCTTTATAAAGAATAGTGGCTTGTAGTTCTTAGTTTTATTTTCTTCTTATGCCCTTATCTGGTTTTTGTAACTGAACAATGCAGGCCTTGTAAAATATGATTGAAAAATCCTTCCTTTTTGGTTTTTTTAATACAGTACTTTAAGCAGAAGAAGTATTAGCACTTCAACAGTAAGCTCTTCTGTGATAGGAGACTTTTTTACTGATACAGTCATTACTTTTTATTGATTTGATTGTTTAATATCTTCATGATTAATTTTTAGTAAGGTATATTTGTCTAGGAATTTATGCACTCTTTCTAGTTTATCAAATATGTTGGCTTATAATTTTAATTGATTATGTTTTGTATTATCTTCCTTTTCATATCTTCCTTTTGATCTCTAATTCTGGCTCTCTTAAGTTAACTAACTTTTGTCTGTATTCTTTCTTCCTGCAGAGAAACCCAATTATATATAATTGCAAGAAACAAGCTCTTCAATCTCCATTTATTTTTTCTACAATTTTTATTGTTTCTTTTCTCCTACTAGTTTTAGGTTAGTTTGTTTTTGTCTGTTTCTTTCAGATGTAGTGATAATTTGTTTGAAATCTTCCTACTTTTTGATGTGGACACTGATTTCTTTGAACTTCTCTCTTAGTAGTACTTTTACTGTTTCTGCAAGTTTTGGTTTGTTGTCTTCATTTATTTCAAGGAATTTGATTTTTTGCTTGATTATTAAATCCATGTGTGGTTTTACAAAAATAAGTTGCTGTTCCAATGTTCTTCTTGTCATTGATTTCTAGTTTTTGAGTTGTACTGAGAAAAAATACTCCATGTGATTTTATCTTTTTAAAATTTTGTTGATTTTAGTTTTTGTCCTAATACAGTAATGGCAAACATTTTAGAGACCAAGTACCCACACTGCAACTCCAAACTCACTTTTCACAAGTGCCAGCACTGCAATGAAATCTGAATACTGAGGTTTTTGTTTAGATAAAAACAAAAACAAAAAGTATTGTTATATGATACTTGGCTGTTGGGGTGACTTGGCTCTTTTGCTCACAGAGAGGGTTCTGTGTGCCTGTTATGGTACGTATGTTGTACGTTGCCTCTACTGGCCCATCATATGTACTCTGGAAAATTTCTGTATAGTGATAAGAAAATTGTGTATTGAGCAACAATTTGATGGAAAATTCTATAGATGCCTGTTATGTTTGTTTGGTCCATGGTGCAATTGAACTATGCTGTTGATTTTTTGTCTGGATTGATCCTTTGCTGAAAGTGATGGGTCAATGTTTCTAATTGTTATTGAATTTATTTTCCTTCCTTAGATGTATTGATAGTTGCTTTACATATTTTGATGCCTGATTGGATATATATATATATATATACTTATGTATTATATATATGTATGTGTGTGTGTCTGTGTGTGTGTATATATATATATATATATACACATATGATTGTTTCTTTCTCTTGCTGAGTTTAATCTATTACTATAAAATGAAAATCTTTGCCATTTTTTATTGCTTTTGATTTAAATTCTATTGATCTGTTATAAGTATGGCTGCTCCTTTCTTTTGGAGTGTCTTTTCATGAAATATTTTTTTTTCTAGCCTTTTCATTTTCTATGTGTTCTTATAGATGAAGTAAGTTTTTGTAAGCAGCTTATAGTTGGGCCATGTTTATTAAATCATTCAGCCACTCAACATTTTGATTAGAGAATTTAATACATTCACATTCAAAGTACTTATTGGTGAATAAAATGTACCTACAGCCATTTTGTAACTTACTCACTAATTCCTTTCTTTGTGTTGATTTCTTTATTTCTTCATCTGTTGAGTCTTCCTTTGAGGTTAAGTGATTTAGTCTAGTATTGTTAGTTTAATTCCTTATTAATTGGTTTTGGTTTTTCTATTTTGTATATTTGTTTTGTGGTTCCTTTAAGACTTACCCACTCTGCTCATCTCAAAAAAAAAAAAAAAGCTAAAAATGTCTTTTGATTGTAATAAGGTTGAAATAATAGCTGCTTCACATGGTGTTAATAAGAGAAGCAGGAATAAGGGAAAATATACCCAGAACATTCTTCACTTATTGTGCTCCTCCCACATTTAGAATTTTTAGTGTCTCATTTTAGACATATTGATATAGTATCTCTTTACATTTTAAAGTAGTTATTATTTTGCTTTTAATCTTTATACTAAAGATATGTATGTTTTCTGTTTATACTATTATAGCACTCTGAGTGTATTAATATAATTGCTCTTACCAATGAATTTATATCTTCCTGTATTTTCTTTATATTCTTTAGCATCTCTTTCAGTTTGTGGATCCTCTTTTAAGATTTCTTGTAAATCAGGTTTATTCAAGATATGTTCTCTCAGTTTGTTTTTCTTGCAGTGTTTTAACCTTTATTTTTAAAGAATGGTCTTACTGTATATAGCATTCTTGACTGACAGCTTTTATTTTTGTATTTATTTATTTTTTTCGGTCTTTCAGTGTGAAAATTTCATTTTAGTCTCTTCTTTCCTGTAGGATTTCTGCGGAGAAGCGTGCTGTCAACCTTGCATGTTGTTTGTTTATTTTCCTTTGCAGCCTAGAAAAATTTTTTTATCATTAATCTTTAAAATCTTGATCATTAGATGTGTGGGGTATGATTTGTTGGATAAAAGAATTATCCATAAGTATAATATATACCATTTATTGACCCTTATTATAAGCCAGAAATCTACTAAGTGCTTTTCTTTTGCTGAAATTAATATTTGCATTTTGGCAGTAAATATTGCTAAATCTGTTTTGCATATAAGGAAACTGTAATTATAAGGCTTCTTACTTCTCCAAAATCTCTCAACTAATTTTTCTGGGATTGAAATTATGTAACTGTAATACCATGTTACATTGCTAATATATTTTTTGTAGTATACAAGTTCAGCAAATACATATCGGTGGATATGTATATGTATCGGTATATGATATGTATCAGTATAGGTTATGTATATGTATCAGTATATGATAATTGCTAAGCCAGGATTTGAATAGATTTTATTCTACTCCAGATTATAATTTAAATTTTTTCAGCTGGAATCTTTACCTGTTTGTTTACAATCTTGAAAAATGCTTAGTATATATGATAAAAACATTGATCAAGTTAAAAATACTATAGATATTTTACCTTGCAAATAACTTTCTTAGCAATGTAAGTATGTAAACCAAATTTTAAAATGTGGCTTAAATTATACCCTCAGATAACTCTAAGCAAATATTATGCTCCTGGAGAGTTGTCTAGTCATATTTTGTATTACTGTTCTTAATAGCAAGTTGTCTTTAAAAGAGAAGAGGTAATTGGTCTGCAAGGGTGACATTCACTTGGATATTTGCTTTAGAATGATTCTTCTAATTGAGAGATCTGGGAAAAATAAACCAGGCAATCTCTATTAAAGATTAGCTGGTAATAGTTTTTCATAGTGATAACATTCTGAAACTCCTGAGTTATGATATTGAAAATGAAGGGCGAGCTTCATGTTGGGTGAATATGTTAGAATAGCCCTAATGCAGAATCTCATTAAAGCGACTGTCAAAATTCCTCTATTTTACCTCACCTTCCTTATTTTGTAAGAAGCAACTGTCATTTTGAGTGAGTATACTGCCAAAGAGGCATTTACAAATAAATGAAAAATGTCACAATTGATTTCAGTACTTTCAGAATACTCTGTGTCAGCTTTGTCACAAACTGTCTTTGTTATTCTGTTTTAGATCACCCAGTGGACGTTGGAAATAGCTTTCGATGGTAGGAGGTCTTTTTTCATGTGATCCCAGGTAAACCCTCTATTGGTGACTTTTACAAATATTTGTAAAGGCATTTGAACAGTTAGCTAAGATGAAAACCCTTTTTCCTCTCTGTGTAGCTCCCGTTTTTACAAAAAATTTAGATGTTAGTCGTTTCCTTACATATTTGTTTTTTTAGGAGAATTAATGCATGCATTACAAAGCATTTGAAAACTACACATTATACTTCACATTATTTTCCCTCATATAGTTGCTACATATTTGCATTAAGAATATTACTTGTTAAGAAGACAATTGATTATGTTTTCCTATATTTTGAAATAAGTATATATCTACATTTATCTCAAATGCATGCCGTTCATATAACTATATATCGCATCTTTGATACAACTTCATTATTGTCATCACTGTAAACTACTGTAACAGCAATACTACTATCATACTAATATTATTGAGGGCTTATTTTGAGCTATATACTGTGCTATGCAATTATAATTGTAATTATAATTATAAATTATGTAAATGTATCCCAGTGATGTTTAGATCCTAAGTTAATATGGATTTTGATAAAGACAACTAATTAGAAATTGCTAGCAGTAGTATTTTTTATTATGGATATTAAAGGAAAGTAAATCATCATATAATTTTACTTAAATAGATTTTAATCAGTATAATGAGTTATAAATTGTGTTATCATTTGAAATTAGTTAGAGTACTGTCATTGACTACAAAGATCATGTAATGGACCAATTAGTAATGTTTTGTTTCTCTTGGAAAATTGAATTTAAGCAATTCATGCCATTCATTCAACAAATATTTATTGAGTGCTATTAAGTGCCAGATACTTTACAATGAGGACATGATGGTGAAAAATATGTATGTTTCTCATATGTTCACAGTATATAGGGAATCACTCAAAAAATAAGTCCAATATAGTACTCACAACAGTATGAACTGTATTGGTTATAACACGAGGGATGAAGTATACACATTATACACATAACCAGTTAGAGATCACTGCTCAAGGAGTAATGTGACAGTAGAAAGTAGATGAATATTAAGTTTTGTCTATAAAGTTGTTTTTATGATGTTTGAAGTATGGTGCCATGATAAGGAGCTGATTATGAATATTTAAAGGAAAAGAAGGTTGTGTCCTCATGAATCATATTTTAGAAATTGAGATATGGTTGCAATCAGTAATAATTGAACTGAAAAGACTTTGAGACAGGCTAGTAAAACTCTCATAGTATCAGTTTAATGTGTATAATAACTAGGAAAAGCAGGTCATTCATTCTTCCTGTTTCACATCAATATAAGTGGAATATATTGACCAGAATTTAAACTCTTTGTGAGCAAGAGAATTGTTTAATTCACTTTGATTCCACAAGATATATTACAGTATTTTGAACTGTAGCATGGGACTGATACAGGGGCAGTAAACTCCCAAACTACTAGATGTCCGGTACTAGTTTGTGTTCACTAAAAACTAAAAATGAATTTTAGGAACAAAAGAGGTTAACAGCAGATTATATTTATTGAAGAAAAAAAGCTTCTGTCTGAGACAAACTGTGAGATCCCAACTGGGTTGCTAGGGACTCTTGTCTTTTCTAGAGACATTGATATAGGGGAATGAAATTCCAAACCTTGGATGTCCGTGAGTTCATGTTCTCTAAAATTGAAGAATGAATTTTAGAAACAATGGAGGTTAAGAGTAGTATGTATTTGAGAGAAAAAAAAAAGCTTCTGTCTGAGAGAGAGAGACAGAAGGAGACCCAAGTGGGTTGCCCAGGACTGTCTTTTCCAGGAACTTGAGTAAAACCATGGGTTCAAGCGTGAGGGAGGGGGGGATGAGACTTCACAAGGCAGATGGGCATAAGTTGGGGCATAACTATAAGTTAGCCAATAAGATCAGTGGTTCAGCTAAAATTGATTGCATTAGGGACAAATACGAAGCAAGTTACATAGGAAGCAAGTATTTTTAGAGTTGTGACCTTTCCCCTAGGGGGATGAGATAGTGACTCCAGGGTGATAGGGAACTAATTAGAATATCAGTCTTCTAGGATGTGGATGCATTTGTTTGATCCTTTGTCTTGAGGCCTGGCAGGAGGTATCTGTCTCCCCCACAGTTGTAAGGCATCTGCACTGCCCCTTTGAGGACCTAACCCTGTCTCACTGCCTATAATATTTCTAACTAACTCAGCTGCCTGCAACAACTTTTTATAGAGTAAAATCATAAGGTAAGGAGGGGTCAAGGTGGGGAAAAAGGGAGCTCCCAAGGTGGGCATAAGGTGGGACAGCACTAAGAATAACCAATAAGATCAATGAGAAGTACAAGTTTTGAAATAAAGAAATTTCAAATAAGCAATTATATGTGAATAAAATCTCTTTAAACAAAGTGATTTTAATGAAACTAAATATGTAAAAATTATTTTTAGTGAAAGAAGAAATAATATATCTGATTTTATTCATTTAACTCTAGAAAATACGTAGTAAAATACATTATAAAACTTTTTCTATAGAAAGAAAAGATATAGCTGTCATTAAATTAATCAGTAATATAAGGTAGTTTACTAAGGAGATATGTTTGACTTTTTTCATAATATATCATTTTATGGGCAGCCTTTAAAATATGGTACTTAAAATTCACAAATCACAAAATGATTTTAATGTTGTACACTAGAAAAAAGAGCTTCGTTATATTTGTTTTATACTACAATACCTGTAATGTGACCCTAACTGTTCTGTATACCTTTTTCTTCTCCCTTCTCCCTCTGGGTGACCTAATTGATGTGTTAACCATTGCTGCCCTCTACAAATAACAGATATGGTACTAAAAAAAGGTAAAAAAGGATATTAATTGCTGCTAGATTCCTCTGTTCTCTGCTGAGGAAAACAAAGATCTTCCCCATTAGCCTACCTCCTGATCCACGCCCAAACCACTTACTTTGTAAACAGTGATATATACATAAAGGGTGCAAATACGGGGGGAGGGGACACACACACAGCTTTTGCAATCTCCAACTGCACTGTGTCGCTGGGCCCAGGATAAAATAAATCAGTGCTGCTTTTTAAAAATATGTTTTTGCCTCATTAATTGAACTTGAGTTTGGGGGCTCGTTTGTGGATTACAAGACTTAATAGTGTATGTTGTTATATATGACAAAGTATGGACACTTTGGGTTTAGTTAAACCCAATGTGAATCCTATCTTTTTTTCCATTTCAAGGGTGGCCATTATGAAGACTGATAGAATTTTCGGTGCAGAAGGGAACCATCTGATAGAATTTTGGCATGGCTGAAAAGATAAGAAATAAAATAAAAGAGACCTTTATTTTAAGAATGTGGGGAGAGACACCTCGGGGTCTGGCATTCTCTCTGCCAGACACATGGTGTGGGAGCATACATGTAGCTTAGGTTTGGGGTGGTGCCTAAGGGGCATTAGTGATTCACAGGTAGCCCATTGGTATTCATTTCAAGCCACAGGTAAATTCCCTAGGGGCGGGAAGATGACCTTAAGATAGAGCCCCTTGGTTCCACCTCCAAGGCTTTACAGGCTACAGTGTCCCATCTGGGGCAAAAACCTTTTAAAGACATTTATAACACTTGCCTTTTTTGGATAATCTCTTTAAGATGTAGTGCCTTCTGGCCACCTATTTGCTAGATTATCCTTGAAACTGTGGAGTATTTCTGTGTATTTGTATGCTTGTGTGGCCATGTCAAGTTCTGGAAGACTATGAATACTAATGCAGACTAGATCAATTTTCATGTTGGTTCATTGGCTTAAGGGTAAAGAGTCACAGATGATGAGTCTAGTGTAAGCATTTTGAAGAACATTTAAAGTATCTTTTAAATGGAAAGCATTTTTAAAATTACAAAGCCAAAGCAGATAGAATATTTAAGTAATAAAGAATCTATGAGCAGGGATACTTGTAAGCACAGAGTAAGTGATCATTGCCCCGCTGTCCACAGGGTAGTCTTGTCTTACTGTTTGCCAAGGAAGAAGCAGCACCTGTTAAAGACCTGATGCTTAGTATTTTGGAATAACGGACATTTATCTGGTTCCTCTGTAAAAAATAGGTTAAGAATGGTAACCTTTTCAAAACCCTAACGAAAATTGGAAAGATGGCAGAAATGAGTACCAACTGGGGAGTAATGCTGCCTAGTGCTCCAGAGAACATACTCACACTGACCATGGAAGAATTTAAGAAAATCTATATAGAAACTTGCCAACCCACACTTCTAAGGGCAATACTTGATCTGTACTAACTCATGTTACCTATTTTCTTTACAGCCATGGAGTTGTGGTCTATAGTTGGTCCAGATGAAGTAATTTACAAATGAGGAGGCCACATTTGAACCATAAATCCATTACAAGCATTTTCAAACACTACAAAAATGTATTTTTAGCAAAACCATGTCCTTCTGTCTTCAAAAGTATAAATTTCTAATAAGTAAGCTTTTTCCTTTAATGCAAAATTGAGCCAAAACAAATCACTCAAAATCTGTAACATCAGCTATGGTAACTTTCACAACAAATTAGCATTTAATAAATAAGACAAAAATGATAAATCAGAAAGAAACACTAATTCCCTATACATTTTATGTGGGAAATCAAACCAAATGTTCACAAAATAGAGTGTATTCTAGTAAGAGAAAGAAGGAAAATATGAAAAAAAAAAAAAAAAAAAAAAACTAGGACAAAGTGAAAAAAAAAAAAAACCCAATATAAGAAGATGTGGCTAGGCCTGCCAGGGGCGTCTATAAACACCTGCAAGTTGGGCATTTGGTTGAGGGCTGGCTCCTGACAGGGCCAGGTGGTGGTAACAGCACGGGGCCCAGGCTCCCTTGTTTCAGGGTCATTTCCTGTGCTTATTTTGTCTGCTAGTTTCCTTCTTTTGCATCTACCTCCTGACTCTGACAGCACCTGTTTTATAGCATTTCCTTGGCAGGAAGCCTTCATGTACATTTTAACAAACTCCCTGCCAAATTTTCTCTTTAAGTTACCAAAAGGTAATTTTTAAAAATTTTGCA